TCTTCTACTAAATAAAATTTACATTTAGAGTTTATATACATTCATGTAAATCCAAATCATATTTAACTCTGTCATTTCTCAGGTATTTTAGATCTTATAGCACTTTTAAGAATATTTGTGTGTCAGGATAATCAACAGATTACTCTTGCTGTATTTAGTTATTTGAATTTTAGTCTTTTGTGTTTATAACTTGCCCCCGGAACATTTCTTATTGATCAAACTAAAATATAAATAAATACTCTTAAGTAATTACAAGTAAATATTGTAAAAGCAATGCTTTGATTAAACCCAGAACAATTTTTATAACTTTACTCTTCAAAAGGCAGTTCTGTTTGTATGTTATTTTTCAAGTTTGATTAGTTTTTTCATCTATTTTTCATCAGGTATTCATAAAATTGAACATTTCTTAATAGTTGTATTATAGTACATAGTACATAAACTGCAGTATCTTAAAGTTTTAAATTTAAGTAGAGCCTGGTGTGACTTTAACTTATAATATTTTCCCTAAAAGCAAAGCAACACGTGGTCTGCCTTGTTGTTTTATTATTGTTGTGGAAAGCATAGACCTCAGTTTGGGGAGCAGTTTAATATAGCAATAGTTCCCCCCCCCCTTTTTTTTTGCAAGCCTTTTTCTCTTTAAAGCACTGCTATAACCTGAAGTTGTGATTAACTGAAAAGTTATGGTGTATGGATAGGAATGAAGGAATAAATATAGTACTGTGCAAATTCTATATAGGAGACAAGATAGTTTTTTTTTTTTTTTTAAGTTTGTAATTTCTCATCTGCCTAGAATTTAGAAAGCAATGCCGAACTTCAATGTTCTGCTTCTGAGATTCTAATAACATTTATTTGGTAGCAAAATGACTGTTCTTCAGTAGCAAAATACTGATCTTAACTGTTCCTATGATCTAGCAGGACGTCCTTCGTGTTTCCTCTATCAGCATGAGCAAGCTGGCTTCCAAACAGCACGTATATTCTATATTATATTCTATATTAAGAGTCTTTATAGCCTTTTATCTATATCATATAAATACTTATATGTCTATTGTAACATTATTATCTAACTTTAGATATTTATTGTTACATTCTTTTTTCTGACTTTTTAAAAATTCTTATTGGCAGATATTTTTTAAGAAATAGAATAGTATTTCAGAAAAAGGAAATTATGTAAGATCTTTGCCTCAAACCACTGGAAACTATTTTGATTGCCTCACAATATACTGTCTATGAAAGCCAGAATTTCTCACATGAATTGTATTGATTAGATTCTTAATTGTGCTGCCTTAGTTATAAAATTAATTAAAACTGCGGCTGTTTTAACTACAATGACTGCAAACTATTGATAGTTGGTCAAGCCCACATCTGGTTGAAGCAGGTTTTTATTTTATATTTAGTGTTGCTGTGGAGTTAGCTCATTGATGATGCCGTACAGAACAAGGGGAATATTGGTTTCTCTAATGCCATTGTTAGGAACATTTATATAATGGCATGATACTCATTAAAATGAGACTCTTTGAAGTTACTTCTAAAGGTGTCCTGTGGAGTTAATTTTCAAGAAATTTCTAAAGGAAACCACAGAGATCTGAAAATGAGGCCCACAACACCTTAACAAGGCCAGCAGCAATCATTTAGGAGGAGGTGACATGACACATTGCAATGTTTTTCCTTGTTAAAGCTATTGGCACTATGCGGCAGGCACCTACACGGGGCAACAATAGAGGCAATCTGGTCTGCCACATTCAGCCTATGTCACCAGATTTCATAAGACACTGCCTGCTGATACTGGTGAGTATAATCCCTAAAGGTTTAGAAAAGTGTCCTAGAAATCTCAAAAACTGAGGTGACAGCAGGCTGAAGCAATGCATTTGCCCCAGGCATATGTCTTATGGGCTGTGCCTTAGTTACGAACCCATCTGCTAAACTTCCTACATCTTGCAGAGTACAATGGTTTTTTAATTAAGCAGAACCATAGCTAAGTACACACAGGTAGGTATCTAAGCTGAGAAAATGAATTCAAACCAGTCTCTGCTAAATGGAAGTGCTCCTGTCTTTGCACAATTGGAAATTGACTAAAAGTCCTTTAAAGTGATCATATTCTTTATTTTTAAAGTAATTAAACTGAAATTCTTATGACTATAAGAGTCAGATAATTTGTTTTACTATTCAGAAACATAATTGAATTATGTATATATGTAAAATTGTACAAAACTGCATATATCATTATATGAAGTTTGTGATGCAGTTTTAAAGGTAATTTTGCTGATTTGTTATGACTATATTCTATTCCTAACATACATGCAGTCAATATAAAAATATATTGGAATAAAGTTATTGTATACTAACGAAAAAATAATTATGGCTGTCTCCATTAAGAGGGTTGAGGAAAAAATCTGGAAGCTAGAGATGGGGCTGAAGATTGTAGCAAAAAGTCTCAGAAATTTTCAAACATTTTCCAAGCTCTAGCACTTGTTAGATTGTTTTTAATTAAAATTTCAGAATCCTTAATCAAAAAACAAAATAATAGAAAATTTACTGTGTTCTAGTGAATTTCTTGTTTTTGTTTTATCCTTAGTCTCTCATGGAACCATTCAGTTTCATAAGACCCTTAGGTGACATAGTTTGAAAAATCCTTGTCTTCATCAAGGAAAGTGGCACAGCTTAGAGCAGACAGCACTGTGAGCTTCAGGCAATGGTCTAAGCAAGGACAGCTCTATCCAGCTGTTACAAAGCCATTGAAATCTGAAAATAATATGAATATAAAGGAACTCTGCTCTATAACTCTGTTCCAATAGTTTCGGCTAAATGCTTGGGCTGAAGATTATGAAATACAGTATGAGAAAAAAAATCTTTTGAAATGTCTAATTGATGAGGGGTTACCTATTAATATATTTAACCTATAGACAGTACATGTGAGCAATTTCATTTTCCTGTTGAAAACCAATTTTATTCTTGTAGGTAAACAATTCCTTTGGTCAATAAAAGAGTTTTTGTTATATAAAACAAGCCTTTCTCTATTGGTATATTGCTTCTATGCCTTTGCTTCAGGAAATTAGCTGCAGATTTTTTGTCAGTCACATAGAAGTTATTTAAACCAATTTCACATAGGTGATGATACACCTTAAATTTTTGATGTAAATTCTTAATGATAGGTGGATAATCATGGGCTAGAACTGAATTTGCTGTTTAGTACTCTACAGCTAAAAGCACATATTGTAACATACTTACCATTCTGACTGGATAATTTAAAACATATCTCTTGTATTTTCTGAAGCCTAGAGGGGCAATCAGGCCTTAGAATGAAATATATTGTACAATTGATCACATAAGCAGTGATGGTAAATATCTCCTCTTCTATAAAGGTGATGTCAGCGAAGGATCAGCCAGCTCCCTGCTCAGGCTGGATTCTCTTAGGGATTATTAGAAGCAGATATATTCCAATTTGTCTCTAGAGAACCAAGTCCCATTTTGTAAAACATCTAGCTGTCTTAGGTTGGAGAAAGATTTGCTCACCAGGCTGTGATTATTGGGAGAACAGCAAGTCTGCCATGTTTGGATTTGACTTCAGCCTGTTCTGCCCACTCTAGACTGTCACAGCCGCCATGCACTGGGAAAGAACATCAAGAGAATATTTCTATGGTCCAGGGAACTGATGCATATCTGAACATCATTAGCATACTGATAATAACATAGCTCAAGCTGTTAGACCTTTCCCAGTGGTTTGATATTGATGTTAAATGCATGGGAGGAGCAGCCCCCTAAGCACTTGGTGTAGACTACACCAAGAAAGATACCAGGTGTTTCTAAAACTACTTTTTTTTAAAGATTGGCTATTATAACAGAATTTTGCAAGTCAGAATGTGCTTGTCCTTCTAACTTCATGTGAATTTAGGAGTCTGACTGGGATACTTCTGTCGCTCTCCCTGCCCCTCCCCAAACCTCAATCTGGGCTTCTGCAGTGCTTATTTGCTTGTTGTCTCTCTCCGATCTTCTCCATTGAGATCAACCTCTTACTCTTTACAGGTATCCCATATATCAGAGGCCACTGGGTTGACCATTCCTTCCCCATAACTGCAGACCATAATCATCTTCTTAGGAAGGAGAAGAGCCACTATAAGGCTTCCTGATCCTCAAAGGTAGTCCAGTAAATTACTATGGTCAATACTATCAAAAACCAGGAGCAGATGAGGTGTATCAATTCCATCCAGGTTCCCAAAGGAAAAGTTTGGAGACTAATCAATATTAATTTAGGATCAAAGGATCCAGAGATGGCATCTTCAGAGAATGTTCCACAATCTACTGCTTGACTGTAGGCAACTCCCTTCACACAGAAAGGGATTATCAATCTCATGGATCCAAGTGGTCACTTTCCCATTCACTCCTCACAAAAGCCAGGGATCCAAACTATTTATACATGGCAGATGACCTCATCCTCTCCACTTCCTTGGAGTTCATTCATACAAAGAGGATGCCAATAATATGAGAAGGCAGTGCCCTAGCCACCCAAAAAATGCTGAGTCAAGACTGTGGCACTTCTCTGGCAGTGAAATATTGTGCAAACTGATTTGAGTAGCCAATTGAGATGACTCCTCTCCAAATGAGAGTCTTAAACCTAAACAAAACTGCAGGACAACTTGCTGATGTGATAATAGTGAACCCACTTTACCACTCTTATTAGCTAAGCTATGAGCATGTAACCATGTAACCAGTTCCGTTTTTTGACTTTTTCTACTAAGGCTCCAAGCATCATTTCTGGCATATTTGCTAAGAGGGTTCTGTCAATCATGCTGCCAACTAGGATCAACCTTCAAAAAGAGACTGTTTGGGAACCATTGAGTCCAGTACCCAGCTTTTCTCCTATTGTAGGGGTTTACCAGGCACTGACCAATTAATTGAAATTTTTAAGTCTTATTGCATGAAATGCATTTCATCTATTTATTTGGTATGGCATAGTAAAATGTAGCATATACTGAATATATTAAAATGACGACAACACAAGTGACTGGAGTACACAGTGGTATTTTATTAGTGCTTAACATGCAGCAACCACTGGGACAAAATCTAAAATTTAGGATTACAATTTTGATTTTTAAAAACTGTTGAAGACTACAAATGCAACAAAACTGCTGGTTCATGCATTTTCACATTCTACACACATAGGCGCAATTTACATAATGACTTTCCATTTTGTGGAGAAAAATCGTAGTTCAACGAAATAGCTGAACTTTTCTCAGTGCAAGAACTGTTAGGGGATTTAATATATGGCTATACAGGTTTATGCATTTTATCACATTAATACATAAAAACTGAATCATCCATGCTGAATGAATCGGATAGATCATTCATGATAAAGTATATGTATTTGAGATTCTTTTGATACTTGATTGTGAAGATATAGTTGGGCTAACAATCTTTTAGGGTGTGATAATTTACTTAATTTAAATCAATCATAAAATTATTTTTAAAATTTAAAAAAAGATAAAGTGCTGTAGCAGTTGTATACTAAAAACATTTAATAAAAGTAATGAAATCTAGAACTACATTGGACATTCATAAAAAGGAAATCCAGGAAAATACCTCATGTTTAGAATACTTGGGAGGAGAAATAGTTTAATGGAACTAAGTACTGCCTTTTTCTTCTTATCAATGCTGTGGCCTCTACTCAGTTGCTTTGAAATCAGGAGGAAATTAACATAGTGTAATTAAAACATGTTTTTCAAATACATATATCTGCATTCCTAACAGTCTACAAACGCATAACTTGTGCACTGACCTTTGGATAGATAGCAATTTTACATTGTTAATAATGTTCAGTGCAGCAATAACTTTTAAACATACATTTAATTTCTTTTAAGAATCTGAGCAAAAGAAGGGAAGAAGTCATTAAAATGCTTAACAGAGATTACTGTATTACTCCAATTGAAAAAGTCTTCAAAATACAGAGAGGGCAATGTTTTCATAGCTGGACCATTACAAATAGCCCTTGATTTAAGGCCAACAATAATAGATTAGGCAACTATAATCTATGGATAATTCTATATTCAATGAAAAGTGGTAATTAAGCTGAAATTAATGTTCATGCAAGGTATCACAAAGGTGTGTGAAATATATGCTTTCCCAATATTACCCATCAGGTAATTTCAATAGATGTAATTTGATTTTAAACAATGCTTCAGAATTTATTTTGTATGGAACATTTTTGGAGGAAGCATTCTATTTTAAATAAATTAATGAATTATATGCTTTGCAGAGAGTAATAAGCTCTGAAAACACATTAATACTGGCTGTGATTTCACCAACATCATATTTAAACAGAATTTCCTTCTATACTGTTAGAGAAATAGATGCAACAATTATGCTTTTAAAGGAAGTCCCTGCTAATTTATATTATAGCTGGTACTTTGTGCTTGCTTCTGTAAAACATTTATAAAAGGAAGCCTTGTACCTCTTTTGAAGTTTCAGTTATTATGTACCTAAACAAATTGATATTTAAGAAGTTGCTCACAAAGCAGTATTTAAATTATATTAATAAATATATAAGCCATTTAATATACAAATTATAAAGAGTTGCTACTATTTATATACATTTCATTGAATATATTTTGATGCTTTTTAATATACCTGCCTTTTTGTGATTTTTATAAACTATTGTAAATTTAAAGTATCCTTTAATTCACTTTTGTATTAAACAGAAATTAAAAGGAATAGAGAATTTAAGCAAAACAAAAAACAAAACCCTTCATAAAACTTAACTTTAATTCTAAGAATTAAACACTTTACACTCCAGCCTGTTGATATTTCCCATTAAGATTAACCAAGTTAATTTGAAAACTTAATAAGTTTTAAAAAGTTAAATATTAAAACTTCCAACATATAAAGTGGTTTATACTCAGCTGGTATATTTGCAGAACACATGTAGAAAGGATCTAATGAACTGAATATATTGGAATCTCAGAATAAATGTCAATGGCCCAAGAATTTAAATAATATAAGTGGAAGTCATTAAATGTGTTACTATGCAACATCTGTAAACTTTCAATCAACAACTGATTTTTAAAATATATTCTGTACAAACTATGAAAATAAACACCTATTTTAAATGCAGAAGTTAATATTAACAAATAAAGCATAGCTTAGGATTTGTACTTAATTTGAATTATATAGGAAAAATGTATGCATTTATTAATAAGTTTACTTGTTTATTCCATACTGAAAAATAAACCAAAGTCTAATAATCCAAGCGTGGTCTCTTTTCATGGCACAATACACTGCTTAATGTGGATAGGGAGTATTAAAAATACAAAGAATTCTTGCTCCTTCTGATAATACTGCTAACCTATTTTAGTTACAAAAGGATTTTAATCAGTAATACATAATCAAAAACAAAACTTTCTGAATTAAATTTATTAATACTCTAAAAAAGGGAAAATATTTTCCATTCTTTTCCATAGAAATCCTTAATATGTTTCTGTATGAAAAAAATCTGCATTACACAATCAAGAAGAAAACTGAACAAAAACGTTATTTCATTCTTCCCAATGCTGTATCCTCATGTCTAAGCCTATTTGCACTTCATACTAGCAATCATTCTGCCTGAATTTTTTATAAAATAAAGGAATATTTTTTTTATTACAATATAGTAAACAATATTTTCTGTATGGCAATATTTTCCATTAGAATTGCATTTACCACTTTGAAATAGTTAAACAACAATGCACATAAATTTATTTAGTCAGAGACATGCTGAGTCAAATATATCCATCACTTTTTAATGGAGGACAATATTTGACTCTGACACAGAATAAAGTACTGAAGTAATTGCAATCTATTTTAAAAAATAATTTCCTATATTTGAAAAAACAAGCAAATTAATCTCAATTTCCTGTCTCAAATATTGCAGAACCCAAATGATGCATACGTTTTATGCATATGTCTATGTGTATACAGACAAACTGCTAAACACACATGTATAGGTTGGCTGACATACTAATATTTAGAATGTTATGTTCCTATCAGCTTTCCCCCCATACTTCTTATAGTCTAAAAATGAGGTATTATCCACTAGTTTCTTCTGCTTTATTTCTCTTTTTTTAAATGTGCATATGTGTGCTTAAACCAATGGCATACTGTACCTTAATATATTAAGCTCTTTTCTATCCATATAGATTATGGAATTTGCCATTTGAAAAACTCTCATTTCTTCAAGAGCACAGATGTAATTATTTCAAATAAGCACTACATTAAGGATCAATACTGTCTACCTTCTCAGGAAAAAATGTATTACCCCCTCATTTACTAGTGATTCCTAAAGTAAATCACATTTTCCTTCATATTAAGAGCTGCAAAACACATTCTGACTATGCACATTCATTCTGGCAGCATGCTGCAATTCCAAAGTGATTAACTGAAGTGCAAAATAAATATTCAAGTATGTATATTAGATGATTACTGTACAGGATACCCAAACTAACCATAATATTTTGAAAATAAAGCATACCTGGATATACATGTTCAAAGTAAAGGAATGTTTTGCAGCAAAAGGAGCTTACATTTTCACCTTATAAAACTGAAGTTTGTATACAGATTCAAGAACTAATACTAACTTAAATTTGGAGTCAAATGCTCTCAGGACAAAGCATGAATATGAAATTTACAATATCAAAACACTGCACTAAGCAATCCATCCTCTTAATTAATACCAGGAGTGTTGGCATTAGCTCAGGTTTTTGTAAATTTGCCAGCTCGCCGAGAAGGTTCATATGGCACTCGCAGAATACTTGGAGTTTCTTCCATTACTCGTACTAAAAGGTTGTCAATATAGTCCTCAAGTTCACGAATGTGGGTATCTTTTTTCTTCAGTTGTTCTTTGTGTTTCATCAACTCCTGCAAGACCTCTTCATATGTAAGATTATGATATCCTATTGCAGCATCAAAAGGATTTCCATCCTAGAATAAAGATATTTTTAAGGATAGAACTAGAAGCATGGTCTTAATAGAAAAGTGTGATTCATTCAAAGGCTTCACAAAAGTTTCTCCATATAATTCACAATGTGGCATGCATTATAGAAGCACTTTTAAATAAAGAGGAGCAAAGAAATACACTTATGGCAAACACCCCTGCATAAATACTGCAAATACATCAAGATCCATTTCTGTCTTGGATATAATAGGTTTTAAAAATATTGTAACGAACAGCTTACAGGTAGTTCTCACAAGCACATTTGGGACCGGAACATCTGTCATTAACATCATTTTTCAGTGCTATCATAACTTTGTATAGTTGTTAAAGAAAAGTTCATAAATTAAGGATTACTTCTATTTAATCCAGCTTCTTCATATCTTCTCATGTAATTTCAACACTGCTCTAACTCTATTATCACAATTCATACTAAATAGCACTGTACATGGTAATGTACAAACTCCATGAATTAATGAATAATTAGAACCCCATTTCTAAAGAAATGCAGGGAGCATTTAATAAATGTGTCCTATATGTCATATGGATTGGTACAAACTAAGGATTCTTATATTACTACCATGTGGAAGCTGCAGATAATATTTCTATATCACAGCCAATTTTAATCATACAATTTCAGAACTATTCACTATATGTGTCTTTCTGTGTATAAATTTCCATATAAGCAACACATGAAATTTTATAAGTGACACAAACATGAACAATTCAGGAATTTTATTTATTCCTCACTATAAGTTATAATGTTGTTTATAAGTAACAGGTGGCAACAACTGTTTCAGACATTTTCTCAAATCAGCTACTATAATTTCAAGAATTATAAGATTTGGTATATTTCTATTTTTTTCTATCAAAATAGCTATGCAAAAAAAAAATTCTGTTTAGGTCAAGTTCTGATTTGTATTTATATATCCCATTATACAATTGGTCAATGGTATGGAAAAAACTAGCCCTGATACAAGAAAACAAACAAAAGGAATATATTGTAGTTTCTGCTATCAGTTAAGGATCCTAGGGCAACTGCTATGACTGTGAAGTACTGGAATGATAGGCTGACAGATATATCTTTCTATGTAGATAGAAACTCTTAGCTGCAACATCCTGTAGACTTGGGCCAGAAAAGGAAAAAAGTGAAAGAAGCAGGAACAATTAATTGCCATTCAAGAAAGAATTAGAGAAACAAAGATTAGGCTTGCCCAGCTAGTCACAAGTCCTAGGTATAGTTTATCACTTTATTCTGGCCTTGAAGAACTGATCTCATCCACTCCCTTTGCTTGTATATCTTGCTTTTTTTAAGTTTCTAAACCTGACGACAGGGCCTCTCTCTCTTTCTCTTTTGTTATATGCTAATAGCAAGTTCATTGAAAATTAGGACATAAATACACACACAAAAGCAACAAATAAATAAATAAAACAACCCAAAAAAGTTCTGGGAGAATTCTGCAACTATCAGAATGGTTCACCTGATTAATTCTGGCAGAACTTCAATAAGAAAGTTGCAGGAAAATATAAATACTAAGGAATTTATAGTACACCATTTTCCCCCTGTCTCACTGTTGATCTGCACCTAAAAGCAGGAGCAGATTGTAATTGAGATCTAAGTGAAAAGAAGCCTCCATCTGGGATCCACAGTGCAGTGTTATTAAGTGAACATTTCTCTGGACTATTTCCCACTTTCCTGGCAGATGATGATGCAAAGCAACTAGTCTATATTTGAAAAGAACCCAATATGATTAAAATGGATAATAGACATGACTCAAAAACATTTCTTGGTTGCTTCCCAACAGTGAGATAATGCTACATGCTTCTTTTTAATGAATTCAGACTCTATTTTAAGATTTGCTCATATCTATCACTTTCTATATTTAAATAGCAAGTTAGGGTTCACATCCACAGAAACCACACTATCATTCAATAATCTGCAACTGAATGAATGAAATGTAAAGTATTACTGCATATATGAAGTAAAATCTATGATATAAAAATACTGTTCCTTGCTTATTTATCTGGATGACACTTAATACATTCAAATCACCAACTAATGTGGAGCTCATCAAATATAACTATCAATTAATCCTTCTGCTTTTTGAAACTATTCACACTCATAGACAGATACAGACATATAGGTATAGATTTAAAATGGCATTTAAAAGTAAGTGAAACATTTAGATGTACACAATTATTTTCTAACATGCAACTGGAAGAACATTTGCAAGATTCCAGATATGTATCTGAAGCATTTAGACTGCTACATGATGAATGAATATGATTGGAAAATGTCCATGCAGTTTGACAAAAAGCAAACATCTCTGACCAAACTACCTTAATGTTCATATATATATACACATACATACATACATACATACATACATACATACATACATACATACATACATATATATATATCATTATAATTTGACAACATGTTCTAATTCTGTAACCCTAATTAAAGAGTATGCAAATGTCCCTTGTTTCATTTTGGATACCTTGTCTGTACAATTTTATACACCAATCTTTGCCTATTCTGGTAATGTATGAAATTGTTTATTCAAGACATATCTAAAAATGTTTGAACTGCCTTTCTTTCAGAACTGAATCTTAAAGGATCAAAGGTTTATGGTACTTCTAAAGCATTGTTTGTCTAAGTACATTTTCTAGTTCTAACAGAGTTGTAATTGAAAAATGAGAATTCTTGGAAGATTCATATTTCAGTGGGACTAATTGCTCTGTGAGTACATGTTTCTCTTCCAGATTGACCAAAGTTGACTGTAATATCTAAATTTAAGGATAGCAATAAACTATCAATATTACAATGCAGTTAGTAAAAAATAGGATCTCTGAAATTTGTTTTAAATGACTGCTGGTCATACATACAGGATTTTAATACATCAAATGCACAATAATTCAGTTTTAACCCCTTTCATTCAAATTACTTCTATTTAAAGTTTGGCACCTATCATATAATTAAAATATGCAAGTGGAAATTTGAAATAAAGCTAATTAGAATGGGTGAGGGAGGCAACATAAATGCTGCAAATCTGTCAAGTGTTAATTTTTTTGAGCTCCTGACCATTAATTGAAAATAAAAAGAGTGCTTTTATTTATGTTCATAGCTCATTTGCTTTTAGCAATCATTTCAGAATAGTGTTTATATCTCCTGCAACTTTTCAAATACTTATATGACTGGGACATGTTTACAGTATCATAGGCATAGGTTGCAAAATCTAAAAGAAATGTTGATACATACTTTTTGTTTCTCTGAATTGTATAATAATTCTGAATTTATATATTCATTTGCACTTTTAAAAATATATTCATATTTTAGATAATAATTTTTTTCATGTTTCCATCTTTGTATCAGTTGGCAGAAATACCATTTTAATTATATACCGCAGATGGTTGAATATATTAAACTTTGTTCATTTCTGATCACTTAGATCAAAACATATGCATAGTTTCAAGTAAAACAACTATATCTATGCAACTAATGTAATGATTGAGATCAATATAATTTTACTATCTTAAATGGAAACACATGTTCAGTAAATAAGGACAAATTAACTAAAAATAAATATTCTATGCCATTTCCCAACAATATTGATATCAAATTCAGTAAAGAATAGGAGAAAAACACCACAGTTTCAAACGAGCAAGCAAGTAGAGAAAATCTGATAATCAAGTATTATTTGGGTACAAACTGATAGCTGCTGCGGGAAAAAGCAAAGATAACATTTGAACTTGGCATTCTTTGATCATTTGTTTATTCTAATAAGGACATTTGTTTTGGGAATATAACTGAAACCACTTTCTCATCTCTTGTTTTACTTTTCCATTCTTCTTTTGGCTTTTAATTAGGCTTTCTTTTCAATCGGCTATCTCTCATTCAGTCACAGGTGATAGCACTAACAAAACAAAATAAATATATAAAATACCATTTCCCAGGGGAAAACCACAATGTAAGTCATTGGAAGAATGCTATTTAAATTACTTCAAACCTATTTGTTAAGGCTGCAATATTTGAATTCTTGCAATTATTATGGTTCATATTTCCTAAAAAAGTGCCTTCTACACATTGTATTTCCCATAATTTGGACTTCAAGAGTAAAATAGTTTTTTAGAAATTTGTTATATTGTTCTGAATAATGATATAGAAGCATAAAAATAAAAAGCTTTGAAATACAGGTAAATAATAACATTTGTTATGCAAGCCTCCTAAAGATAAATATGGTAGCTCAATGAGTTCAGTTGAGTTCTTCCTAAATAATGCACCAAATCTAATGAACTGATTCTTAAATTAGTGACAGCTTCAACTGAGTCTGGACAAATAGCATTCTCTTTAAACAAGGGAAAACCAACTTTATAGTTATTATAGAACAGGCCGTAATACTGCCATATTTGAACTGAAGAAACAGATCTAGCATTTAAGAGCCTCTTTTTATTTTTCATGATGATTTATAAGGTTTATGAAGTTCATGGAAGTCCATAGGTAGAAGCCCTTGCCAGCTAGTATATGGGCACTAAAGATTGTCACTCATGCCTTTATCACTTCCCTTATTGCTACAAACTGCTTTACACGGGTCTGCTCTTAAAAGAGCACAGAAACTTCAACTACCAGTAGTATAAAATGCAGCAAGACTATTTTGTTACAGTCTTGTGACAACATGCTGCAGGAGATATACTGAATACCAGGGTTTTTTTGAGTGCAATTCGGGCTGCTGATTATTTCTATAAAAACCCATGTATCTCACAGCTTAGGTATCTATATCACCACCTATTACAAAGATACTGTGTTGTCCAAATGCAAATGAACATAGAATGCCTAGTGAAAGTCCTCACTTATTGAAAAATATCAGAATAACTGAGTTGGAAAGGAGCTTAGAGGTCTTCTAGTCTAATCCCCTGTCCAAGCAGGAGATCCTACGCCACTCTGGACAAAGGGCTGTCAAATCTCTTCTTAAAAACCTCCAGTGATGTCACTAATGCTATTTTGCCTAATTACCACAATACTTAGAGAGGGAAATTCCAGTCCCAATCGGATTGCAAAGTGAGGGCTACTTGCATTTTTTCCCCAGTAATTCTAAATTACATTTTCTTTTTTCATTCTGGTTTGTCGCTATTGCTCTTTGTGCGGTACTGGGAGTCTTTTATGATTGAGTTTATTTTTAATAAATAAATAAATGTTTCTTGATTATTATCTTGTAATATTTATTAATCAATCTAGAATTCACATTTGGATTAACTTTTCTAAACCACTTAAAAAGACCCATAGGACTTGGATTTAGCAAATAATAATTGAGTATATTATCTTCCAATAAACAAAAAGTAAAAGGATGAAAAGGGATTAGGGGACTTAGGTTCAAAAGTGCTCATGCATTGCCATCTTCCAGTATTTCTGTTACCTTCCAATATATTTCCTTCTTAAAATATATATTCCAATGAATTTAATGCATAAAAGTTCATATTTCCATCAAATATACAAGCCTGTAGGAGGCAATATTATTATGCATCTTGTCACTCAATTAAACAACATATCCAAGGTGAAAAACAACAGGTAATACAGTTGAGAAGTATGAATCCTTTCAATAAAAATAGAGGCCGAGAGGGGTTAATCTCTTCAGATTAGAAAGCAAGAAACTGGGGAGAAATATACAGCAACATAAATAAAGTTAGATAATTAATTTTTCTTCAACATAGAGTAAGGATAGGCAGCTATGACCCTTGAGCGTTTTTTTGTAGCTGCCATAACATCATATACTGCCAATGCCTAAAACTGATAAAGCAATTTATTTCCGTTTTAAGGCAGGAGACTGTTTTAAAAGGTGCATAAACAATCTTAAAAGAAGTTAAAATCTCTCCAAAACAAAAAGGGAAAGCAATAAACCCTACCACCAGCAAAATGTGATATTTGGTTGTTTCCACTGTCCATTAATGTTCCATCCACCATAACCTTTGCTTCTAGAAAAAAGTGCTGCCTCCAACCACTAAAAGATTGCCCATCCCAAATAAAAGAAAATAGCACTCTGTCTGTGCATATGACCCACTTACATATTCAAGAAGTGTGAAAAATGGTCTATATTTATATCAGTACAAATTCATACTGTGCATCTTTTTTAAGTTATGAAATTTAAGTCAATTGTTATTTTCTGTGTACCTAAAAACATTAAGAAAACATGTAAGTATGCATGCAGAATGCCTTCTTATGCATAACAGGTATGGGATTAGATTGCATGATTCTGCTTTTTACCCAATCTTTTCATATATGGTTTGATTCATGAAGCCACTTACCACAGATTCATGAAGAACAGGCTATTTATACCTTTAAATTATTAACCACATCTATTGTGGGGTAATATATCTCTATATATCACATGTTAAAACAATCAACAAAAAAGACAACTTGTTTCTGAATTATCAATTTCAAGAAGGAAATGAATAATCCAGATGGGATTCTGGATTAATTCAGGAAAGAAAATCTGTACATTTGTACTATTAAATTAGGGTTCAATCAGTCTGCTAAAAACAATAAAGTTTTAACCAACTAAGCTTTAAACAGGGGATATTCCCTCTCAAATATAAAATGGAACATCAATCAAGTAGTTACTTACCATTGTTTTTTGAAATTCTTCAGAGTTTTCAGAATTCACATTAAAACTATGGAAGTAATAAAAATATATATAATATAATAAATATTTAGAAGTATGTAATATCTCAAAATAATGGTTGCTCTTTTCCCATACATCATCCTTCCCCCAGATTTTTGAAAATTAGACACAGAAGATTTTTTTTCTAAACAGCACTATCGTTTTAAAAGTTAACATGTGTTAATATTTAACGTGTAGCCAAACAGAAAGTTCGGATTTCTTCGAGAGTTCAATACTTCAGTAATAGAGTTCAAACCCTTACAAGACATTATCAGACCATATGTAAGCTCAAGAAAATGATCATGCATGATAATAATGTTCTACCATTCTGGTTACAAAACAAACATAAACATGCTCTTCTTTATATAAAGTCATAGTAAGAAGCAGTAAACTATATATACATTATATGCAAATACTACACATCATAGAAAACTATTTGGATGTAGCATTTTAAAATTTCTATTAATGTAAACATATATACTAAGAGTGAATACGTTGAGGGTTGATTGATCCTATTCCAACTTTAATGATACTAAAATGCACTGATTCCTATGGGCCCTTCTTCATCTAGAATAAATGCTATGTGAAAATTGGCTTAAGTAGTTTATACCAGGTTTTCAACGAAAGGATAGCTGTCCTAAAAAAATAATAACGATTGCCCTTTGGGGCTTTGTGTCCATGTAGCAAGAATACAGTTAGGATGGGGATAAGGATATTAGTTTTCCTTCCAGAAGAATTTGTTAAAGTATAATCAGAGAGGAAGAGAAAGTCAGAAGAAAGTAAAATAAAATCTCTTCATAAGTTTAAGGTTATCACTGCAATGATCCCATAGGTACTGATTCAACAATGTATGAAATAACTGGTTTGCCGTTTTCTCCTTTGAAGAAACAATACTGCGACTTCCGGTTCCGGATCGCGGCGTGTGCAGCTATGCAGAGAGACTCCTCTCTTCGCGGGCTGCTTTCCCTCTGCCAGTAGATCCTTAATCGGGTCGAAAAGTCGTCCTGGAGGGGCAACTACCATTGAGGAGACCCTCGTCGACTATGGAAGGATGGCAGCTCCTTCCACAGTCCGAGATTGCTCCTTAGGGCCAACAGAGAAAAGATCGGCCAGTAAAATGGCCGATCACTTTGCTGCAGTAACCAAAAGTCAGAAGAACATCTAAGCATAAAGAACCACCGTGGTTGATCCAGGTGAGACCTTTTTTTCCTCTCTTAGCCCTTTTCTCTTTTTTTTCCCTGTAAAAAGCATTTTTGGAATTATTTCCCTTCTCTGAGAGAGTGGCGCTTGTTAGTGTGGGAAGAGAAGCTTTGAAAATGGAATGAAAATTAATTTTATGGACTATTTTTTACTTCTATTCACTTTGGGGTCTTGAAAAAATTCTTATTATTGAATTTCATTACTGGATTTAGTTTATATGTGAAGAATGCTATTTTTTCTTGATTTTCTTGATGTCATTTTTGGTGTCTGGGAAGAGATTTTATTGTCTACTGAGGACACCCTGTGGAGAAATTTAAAATTGCAACTTTTTTTTTAATTTGATGCTGAGGTTGTCTTTGACCTTCAGATCATCATAAAAGGGAAAAGACAAAGAAATTCAACAGCTGTTAAATTTGTGGGGGTGGATACTGGCTAAATGTTATTAAACATAGCCTCTACTAAAAGATAACAGGACTGTCACTAGTTGCTATTTAAATGGAGAAACCCTATTTACAACTCAACTGTAAACTTATATTGGAAAAAGTCTATGAAGCCACTAAGCAAATATGCATTCAAATAAAAGAGATTACTACAGAAATAAAAAAAACAGAAACCCTGTTTGGAACTTACAAACCGACCTCCAGACTTCATTTGACTATCCTACAGGCCAAAAAACAACAAAAGAGGAATCAATCAACACTAAAGAAGATTCTATGCCATTCTATATACAACCTATTGAGACTCCTGATGATCAAAAAGTGACTTTAACTAAACCATATACAATTTCAAAAGTAACAGAAATGGACGTGCAAATACAACTGATTGAGAACTATGACAATTTTGATAACCAACTACTAACCACAAAACTGGACATAACTGAGTGTCTTACTCAGCAGAATCAAATGTTGAGACTTGAACTTTTAAAACAACAGGGGATTAACTACAAAGGAGTCAGGTTCCTAAAACAGAGGATGGGACGTTTTTTCTTGACTCAAATGATACCACGAGGAATAAAAAGAGATTTATTTATTGATATAGAGTCTCTGTTATGGAAACCTGTTGCCACAAGAAGAAAGCTAGAATAAGACTTAAAAGTGTGACCTAAAATTGTATGCAATGGGTTAAAAAGGCTTTTAAGAACGGATTGATTTAAGGTTTAAGATTGGTAAATAAGGCTTTAGAGAACTTGACTGAATAAAGATTAATCAAATATGTGAACTTAGTAAGAAGATGTTTTTCTGTATCAATATGCTTGTTGTGGATATAATAATTATTCGGACCGGATTTAAACTTTATTGAGTGGGTTAAAAGAGTTTTTCATAGATACTGATTGATTGATAGATTATAGATTTAAAATAGAGTAGAAATGTATTTTTTGGAGTAATATTCTTATTTTTAGGAAGGATAGCTATTTTGTAATGGAAGGAGAATAAGAGGGATTTCTGATAAAAGAAAAATGATATTAATAAATGAGTTACTAGATTAAAAAATAGAATACTTATAGAAAATACAAGAATGTTATGGTTGAAATAATATGTGAATTTTAGAGATAAGGATTATCTCCAAAAAAAAGGGAAAGGAGGGACACCTGAAATGTTAATAATATGCTTATCTAAAAACCTAAGTGGAATATGGTAATTGTAAATAGTAAAGCTTAAAAACAGGATTTGGAGTTATACAGATGAAATGTTATTGATGATTGTTCTGATTGATTGAATTTTATCGAAAAATACATTAATTTGAATATATTATATTATTTGAGGGAAATAGGGAGTTTCTAATGATTTAATCTGACTTATATACGTATGATTTTGTTTTTGGATAATTGATTACCCCGTCACCACGTTGTTTCTCAAGCACCTGTTGTAAAAATAAAAAATCAATAAAACTTGTTTGTTTTTTTTAAAAAAAAGAAACAATATTGCAATTTGGCCCAAGTGAAGAATGAAGGAAAAAGTCATTTATCCCTAACAGCCAGAGAGTTGACATTTTTAATTTCCATGAATTCAAATCATCAATAATTCTAAATAACAAAATATAATTTGTTAGAACTAGAAAAGGCATAACTTGTATCATTTTTAATTCTCTCAAAATTATTCTATGGAAATTCACAATAATGACTCAAAATATAAAAGTCTTAAGATATGCTTTGGCAGTTAAGAAACATCTATTTGTATAATTTCTTTTTAACATTTTTTATAAACTTAGGGTGATATCTTTGTTGTAGGAGCTGTAAATATTCAGGCTGTTAAAACTATCTGTTCTTGGTTTACAGTATCTTAAGTGGACAGAAGTGAAAACAGAAATTAACTTTCTTCTAAGTACTTCTGGAGGTTTGAAAAGTAGAAACAGTACAGGTATAGCGGAAGCAAACCTATGTGAACAGTATTTTAAGAAAAGCAGGTCACAAGAGTAGCAATATGCTTTTATGTGAGTGTTGTTTGCCTTTACATTTTAAGAATATGAATTAATTATCCCAAAATGATCAGGTTTCCAAAATCAAAACATTAGAAAAATATTACAATTATCTTATATATCAATATTACCTAACAGTTATGATTGCCCTTATCTGCCAAATGTATCCCAACTTTTTTCCCAAACACACTTCTGACTTCTGGTGAGACTGCTAAAAGGCAATCTTCCATTTCAGGCTTGAAAACACAAAACTCTAAAGCAAGCCTGAAATAAACTTACACAGTTAAATAAATTCCCCTCCTCCCTCAATGCCCCCCACAAAAAGTTATTAGAAAATCAAGAGCAGGCATATGTGTAAACTTCCTTCACCTATTTGACATTCTTAACCTGCCCAATGTGACCCTCAATCTCCTCAAAAGTGTAGTCTTGTTCCCCCAAATTTTCTTTCCTTGCCTTAAAAAGACTACCGTATTTTCCGGCGTATAAGACGACTGGGCGTATAAGACGACCCCCAACTTTTGAGAAGATTTTCATGGTTTGGCAAGTCATCTTATACGCTGGAAAATACGGGTACTTTAACTTTCTAATAAAAGTAATGTAAGTCCTAAGCACATTAGCATTTCATTATATTTCATCGCTTGTTCCTGATCTGCTGAAGACAAATGTAGCTGGGTAACATCCCATAAGCATCGGGGTGCACTTGTGAAGCTTTGCAGTATATGAGGAGGACTAAAGGATAGCGGGAGGTGGGAGGAAAGCGGGTCGCGGCACTAGCCAAGCCCAGCTGTCCAACAGGTAGAGATTTTGGATCCATTTTCTCCAAATGGATCTGAAAACACCCTCTACTCCCACTTGCCCGACCCCAAGGCTGCCCACGCCAGGTGGGACTGGCAAAGGCAGCGCATCCTAAAATCCGTCGGTGGAAGCGCCTGCCGGACCGTGGGCGGATCGCTGTCATCTGTGCAGCGAGAGCACCAGCGACGGCTGCAGGTTGCCAAAGAAGCGGCTGAGCACGGAGGAGGAAACACTAAGCGTCCGTCCGTCGGGGTCCCAGGGCTTCTGGCGCTCAGCATGACGGCACCGGGTGTGGTCAACCCTGAGGAAGCGGCACCCTCTGCGCAGGCGCCGGCTCCCATCAGCTGCTCCTGCCGGCCACCCGAGCAGAGGCTGGTGGCAGGGGGTTTTCCCCGGGGGAGGAAAAGCCCCGCTCGCACCGCCTCCCTCCACCTCCCTAGACTGGGAGGGGCAGGATCCCTGCCTGGGGGACGGACGCTTCTGCAAAATAGCTGGCCTTCTGTGAGCACTGAGCAGCACTTAAGCAGCAAGGGGGGCGGGGGCACTTCTTCTCGGGAAGCCCCCACTGCTGACCCAACACGGGCATTCTTACTTGGCTGGCTCCCCACCAGCACTCCTCTCCCGCCATTGGTCCGCCAACGCTCCAACCTCGCCCCTTCCTCCCAGCTGTTTCTCAGAGGGACACTTTTCTAGGGCTATTTGGCTGCGTGGGACTCTTAAACTCTCATATGGACAGCCAATCCCCATGCCAAGGGGTGAGGAGCATGGGGCGCAGGATACAGGGGAGCTTGCTTTGATGTATTATATTTTCCGATGTATAAGACGACTGGGTGTATAAGACGACCCCCAACTTTTGAGAAGATTTTCATGGTTTAGAAAGTCATCTTATACGCCAGAAAATACGGTATTTTACATTACACTTCAAGATGATATGCTGTAAGATAAACTCAGTTAAACAAATGTCATAAAACTATGTCCATTTTAAAAATCAAACCATATTATTAAATAAATATTGAAGATACAATTTATACAGAAACATATAGTATATAAAGACTTCATAATAAATAAATATTCAAGAAAAGAGGGTGAACAGGAACACTGTGTGGGCTACAGTTCTGGAATTAGTGAATAATTTGAGAAAATGGAAAGTATATAATTGCTATATATATTAAATAAATTATATAAATATAATTGAAATTATATCTTTTCCAAATCTATTCTACTAAAATTAAGATACTTTATTATTTGCTTTGGTTAAATGTAAGTTTCCATTTGCAATTATGTAGTTCATTTTAGTGAAGTTCTTTTGTAAACAATAATTACCATATGCAACAATGAATAACATTTTTCAAAGAGTGACAAGGATATATACCCTGGAAACATGGAAAAATAGATCCCAAAACAGTAGGCAATGTTAACACTATTTGAAACTTTACAGTTTAATTATGAAAAGGTATTCCAAATTAATGCCTAATACAAAGTAATATGCCTTAACATTAAATTCCATCAGTATTCAGAAACATGAAAATTCACAGATGCAACAAATAATGTTGCTGAGACTGTCAGACAAAAAGGAAGCAGAAAGATAAAGAAAGCAGATGGAAATTAAGACATTTAATTTTTCTTAAATGTTTTTTTAAAAATGTTTGAAGTGGTAAAATAACTTTTCAAAACATAAGCTATTAATACACATTACAAGATACAAGTCAAACCACATTTTTTGTATTACCATAATACAGAACATTGAACTCTGAACAATATTTAATATGCTAAAAATTACTTATTTGATTTTTCACTAGTGGGAAAAACTTATATTTTCTAAAGTATATTAGCTATTCCTCCATTTAGTTACTTATTCAAAATCTTTCAATTACTCTTTTTAGAATATATTTTACCATAATCAACATCATCATTACCATCATATACTTTTAAAAAGCTGAAAATCATAATAATTATAATTATATAAATTATATAATTATAAAATTATAATCACTTTTAAATAAGATATACTGCGGGCTTAAACATTTGTGAATACTTTTGAATTTTCAATATTTATACTGGTGCTCCACACAGTTGTTTAACTGGTTTCTCTTTAGCTATATTGTTCAGTTGGGTTTCCTTTATCTGTTAGGATTCCATTCACTACCAAAAAACCTAAATATCTGATTTCTTTATAACCCAGATGACATTTTGTTGGATCTACTGTAAAACTAGCTTTTTGAATACTTGTCACTACTTTTTCCAATGCATTAAATGGTTTTCCCAGCATTCGCTATAGACAATGATATCATCTAAGGGAGCCTCACATCATTTCAGTTGATCAGGGAAGATATGGTCCATTAATCTTCAGAAGGTAAGCATCCCTTTCACTTCAACCAATAAAAGAGACTCTCTCATGAAATGGTAGATTCTCCTTCAATAAAAATCTTCAAGCTGAGGCTGGACAAACATTTGTCTGATACACTTTAATAGAACCTTTGGCAAGCAGAAAGACAGACTAGATCACAGGTGTCTATCCTATGTCCCTGGAAAGGACTTGTTAGATAAAAATGTGAAATCCAGTCAAACATCTGGTTGACTATGCAACCAACATAATAATAATCTAATTAGGACACTTCACTGAGACATCTATCTGTTCACATTTTCAAACCTGGCATTCAATCATGCTAGTAACAACCTGTCGCCTTTAACTACTGGACTATTTGTACCCTGTGTCCAGTGCCTAAGAGCTTGTTAATTATCCAAATTCTCTTTCTCTAGGTCTTGTTAATTACCTGTCTCCTGTCTCAGAGGACCTTGTTAATAACTTTGTACAGTCCCTCTAAAGATGGCCTAACAACACATTAAAATTAAAGATGCTTTTGTTTTAGCACCTGTCAAGTGCTGTAAATTGAGAAATTTTCACATTAGTTTATTAGCCTACTGTAGTGTAGCATAAAAACAAACATTTTTTTATAAAAATGTTGCACACAGAGTTATCTATATCATGGAAAACCAATATTTTAGTTGACATTTGTTCTTAAATACTATATGTTCAATGCACAGGACTGCTATGAGAGCTACAGATTAACACCTGGAGAGCTACTATGATGAATACAGCCATTAAGACTACAGTAATGTAAGTGATCAAGGAACTTTAAAGAGAAAACTTTGAAAACTATAATTGGGATTACAAAACATTAACTTTGTTATTATCGGACAACATGACCTCATGTAGGTTTTTCAAAGAATTAGTCATCTGAGCTATAGATTCCATATCAATGTGTACAAAAAGCCAATTAAGCTATTACTTCTTAAAAAGACTTTCTTTAGAAATAAAAAAAATCTCAACAGCAGTAAACTGACTTCAGTATAAATAACATATTATTCTTCAAAATGATATGCAACTTTCTTTTAAGTCAATCTGGAAAGTTCATTAGGTTAGTACACCTAACTTCAATAAATTAGTACAGGTAGTCTTTGATTTACCACCATTTGTTTAGTGACCATTTGAAATTGTAATGGCACAGAAAAAATGTATTATTTTTCACACTTATAACCACTGCAGCATTTCTGTGGTCATGGTATCAAAATTTGGACGCTTGGCAACTTGCTTGTATTTATAACAGTCGCAATGTCCTGGAGTCATGTGATCACCTTTTGCAACCTTCTGACAAGCAAAATCAAGGGGAAGCCAGATTCATTTAACAGTTGTGTTACTAACTTAACAATTGTGGCAAGAAAGCTTGTAAAATGGGCACACCTCACACCATTACTATTTGGCATCAAGATACCTAAAGGACACACTTAGTCTATAAAGGTTGTGCAATGCTTCAGAATCACTTTCAAAAGGGAGATGTCTTCTGAGGAAGTTAGTGCATCTCAATCATTTTAAAAACTTGAACACGTAGATTGGTTCTCCAAACAGAGCTGCATAGACATATTCAGCCTTTTCATAATGGATATACTGAAGCTTTGCTTGATTATTTAAAGCACAAGAGGTCCTTAATTCTTTGTTAGATAATCCTCCATTTTAAGAGTACACTGGCTTTTATATAAGAGAATGGCAAAACCGTCTGTAACATACAGATTGTTCCACAATGCCTACCTAGGCTAGTTCCTTCACAGCACTGAAGTATCAATCCAGGTCTGTAATATTTATTTTTAAAAATTAAATAATGTTCTCCTTGAATAAAAATAAAATGTTTTAATAAAAAAGTAAACGTCAACTTCAGGATATCTAACCAGGGAACTTACCTAGACAGCAGCATATTTTTTGTCTTGGGGTTTGTAGTAAAAGGATTAGTGGAATCAAAATCAAAGCTGTCCTGATGACTTTCAGCAAAAAGACAGGGTGATTTCAAATCAGAGGAGCCTTCTGATCCTCCGTTACTAAGTCTATCTGATCGTTTGCCTTCTTTCTTTCCAGTTACTCTTTCAAAGAGACTAACTTTCTCCTTTTTCTCTTTCTTATTGTCCTTTTTTATTTCAGGTGGTTTTGAAAATAAGCCCACATTTTGTTCCCATGATAAAGGGTTTTCTTCAAATGGATTCTTCTGTCTTGGCAATGTGGCAAACTTTTGAGGCAGTGAAGCACTCACATTGGAAAAAGGATCATTTTGAGCTACAAAAGCTGAGTCACTGTCATCAACTGTGCTGTCGGGTTGATTCACTTTAGTGCCATCTGCACTTAATGTCCGCCTGTGTGGAGATTTCAGATTTCCTGAAAACAATGTTATTAATATGCAACTGAACTCAAGTGTATTATAGAAAAGATACATATAAACACACACATATATATACAAAATATTATATGACTATTTGCAATAAGTTAAAATAATAAGTTTATTCCAATAACTATTATTCTACAAATATAGATCATAAACATATTAGCTTTGTTGAACAGTTTCAATAAGCCTTTGACCATATAATAAATTCTCCCACTACAATATAATGCTTGTGTTACAATGATCTGAACAAATTGTAATTATTATTTCATTGGGGAGAGTAAATAGTAACTAGCTAATAGGGTTAACATATACTACAGTTTTTTGTTTTACCCAGGTCTTTCTAGCTGATTCAAATGTTTAAAATTTTGCTGTTTTTTCACTGTTATTGTTTTTATATTTTAATAACATGTGTGATCCAATCTAAAAAAATTTAAGTACGGTGTATAATATGAATATACACAGTATGAAAAATGGATTTTGCTTCAAGCTTGAACAAAACAGTCTAAACAGAAACATTCCAACTGAGATGACTATGTTCCACTAGGATAAAACTTAAAACTATTTAGAAGATTTAATCAAAGAGGGCAATGGGAATTCAGCAGAACACCCTTGCTCTTTGTTTTTCTCCAAAAGTAGTTGAAATATTAACTCACGTTGATTGCTATCTGCCATCCAACCTGCTGCAAAATTGGCCACAATTTAATTTAATTTAAACATTAAAAAATTCCTATAGAAATTCTTTTGGTATCTGAAGAAAAAATTTAAACAACAACCAAAAAAGTCAGGTTCAAGCACAAGTCCATGTTTTATTTCTATTATTAATAAAATCAAATACAAGTTTTGCACAAATCCAGGAAAAAGCACATACTGTAGGAAAAAGTGCTTCTTCTAATTCTTGCATGAATAAGAGCAAAATGTAACAGCATGAATACATCCCAGTAATACAACTAAACTCTAGAAGTCATTAAAAGTTGTACTGAAATGCATTCTAAAGTATAGATCACAGCATCATAAGTGCACACAAAGATAACAAATCAAAATAGGACAAGTATTTTCAGTTTTAAATGAAAATACTTATCCTATTTTGATTTGTTATCTTTGTATGTATCTAGGTATCTTAATGTCAATTGGATTCAAGACTACGCACATTCTGCACCATTCCCCCCAAAAGCTCAATAAATCAGTCCCACCTGCTGTACTGGCTAGGCTGCAACATCTGGGAAAAGTCAACTTCAAGAAAACATGTCCCATCACAGCATTCAGAACAGCACAAAACACTCAAAACTGTCAAAGTTTGTTTCAAGCTTGAAACAAAACTCTATTTCAATCATGGAAGACGCAGAATGTCTGTTTCAAGATAAAAACGTTTGAAACTTGGAACTTTGGACTTTTGTATATCCCAAGCTTATTTTTAAAACAAATTACAGTGAAATGAAACTTAATACAGTAATAATGAAAAAATATACTTATTAAAACAAATTATTGATGAAAAATAATATTCTTCATTTGATTTCCATTGTATCTCAAATTCTTAGCAGCTATATTTTTCTTAGGAATAAGCATAAAGATATAGGATTTGGAATAATTCTATTAGAACACCTTTTCAAATAGTTTGCATCTTAAGAAATCTTTACTTACCACTTTCATCCTCAGAACCAACAGACTCAAGCTGACGTCTGAAGAGGTATGAGTTGCCAATTGTTCCCGATTTAATTTTTTCTGAAGTTATCTGAGGTCCAGTTAGATCAGACATTGAGTGAGCCAAAGAGAGTCGCTGAGGTCCCAAAAGAAAAGGCTTTTTTGGCTTTGATTTTAACTGCAATTCATTGAGGGAACTTATATTGTTAGTTTCTGGGGTATGAGTCCTTGGAATGATTGCAGAAGATGTATCCAGAAATGTTCCATCTGTCTTACGACCTTTCATTTTGTCCTTTAATTTAGCAAAAGGAGATTTGGTTTTATCCTTAATTGACAGGTCAAACATACTTGCCGTCATGTTGTTTCTCATAAACTGAATGTTGACTTTTATCTCACCTCTATCTTTAGTTCGTTTTCCTTGCTTGGACTCTAGATTAAACCATCTTAAAGAAAAGATAGTATGCTGTTAGTTGCACAAGCATGCCTCAGAAACCGATGATGCCATTTCATCTATACTTATGTAAGATTGCAAAAAGTCAATATAGACACATATTATGGAGGTTGCTTTACAATTTTAAATATATTTATTGCAAAAAGTATTCCTTGGTCAAATTTTAGCACAAGTGTGTTAAAAGAATCAAAATGCCTAATTTAATCAGAATCATGTATAATAAAGCATACAAATATTAATTAAACTTCAAGAAATTGCATTGGTTAAAACTGTATTAAAGTGAGTTTCAGAACTGAAACTCAAGTAGAGAAACAAAATGCCATTTGGAAGACTTAAAATAAACATTTATTTACAACTTACTCAAAACTGACAATGATGATCTAATGGGAATCCTGTTGATAAGACATTCCTCAGATAGAGAGAACATTGCAAAAAAGGCTGTGTCTTGATAGCCAATTTAAGGACTACCAAAGTAGGGCAACAGAAAAGTCCCACCGAGGTGGCGCAGCAGTTAGAGTGCAGTACTGCAGGCCACTTTAGCTGACTGTATTCAGCAGGTCAGCGGTTCAAATCTCACCAGCTCAAGGTTGACTCAGCCTTCCATCTTTCCGAGGTAGGTAAAATGAGGACCCAGATTGTTGGGGGCAATGTAAATATATATATATATATATATATATAGAGATATATTATATATATCTATATATATTATTCAATAATGATGGTGAAAATGCGACTCCCGGGCATAATTATAAATGTACTGAATAAAGCTCGTTCACCAGAGAGTTTAAAGTTAAAATACTTCATTAAAGTATTTTACTTATTAAAGGTTGCCAAGCTTTCGTTGGGAAAACTCCCCAACATCTTCAGGGCTGAGAGACCGTTTCTAACAAGGTGATTCAAACGGGTTCCATAGACGTCTGCACGTGGTTCCTAGACTGTGCTAGCATTCCCTGCTGAACAGCTGATAGGTGGGGGGGGAATCGGAGTAAAGATTTCTTCTGTCGTTCTCTCGAGCACTTTTGTTCACATTTCCGTCGACCTCAGGGGTATTGTTAAAGTTATGTTCCGCCCTCTCCCGGCAGTATTGGCTCTCGTTGCAGTGGGGGGGTTTAGTTTGATGTCATTGTGTATCCTACCATGGAGGCGGGGCTTCATCGGCTGCAATTTAACATCTTTCCTCTGCTGCGTGCTCCCATATTTATCTTCGCTCGTATGTACAAGCATCAACTGGATGTGGTATTTTTCAATGTTTGAATCATCCTCCTCCATCATGGTGTCCCCCATGCTCATCTTCCCTCGTAGGTCAATATTCAAGTTAAATCCCCCCCATTTCTGTGAGCAAAAGTCTGTTGGTATTTGGCAGGTTCCCCGCTCATGTTACTTTCCCTTTTATCAAGCGAACGGGTCGTCATCACATGTCGTCATCACATATCCCATACAGAGAGGGGAGAAAAAACATGTGATGACGACCCGTTCGCTTGATAAAAGGGAAAGTAACATGAGCGGGGAATCTGCCCAAATACCAACAGACTTTTGCTCACAGAAATGGGGGGGATTTAACTTGAATATTGACCTACGAGGGAAGATGAGCATGGGGTACACCATGATGGAGGAGGATGATTCAAACATTGAAAAATACCACATCCAGTTGATGCTTGTACATGCGAGCGAAGATAAATACGGGAACACACAGCAGAGGAAAGATGTTAAATTGCAGCCGATGAAGCCCCGCCTCCATGGTAGGATACACAATGACATCGAACTAAATCCCCCCACTGCAGCGAGAACCAGTGCTGCCGAGAGAGGGCGGAACATAGCTCTAACAATACCCCCTGAGATCGACGGAGAGGTGAACACAAGTGCTCGAGAGAACGACAGAAGAAATCTTTACTCCGATTCCGCCTCCCACCTATCAGCTGTTCAGCAGGGAATACTGGCACAGTCTAGGAACCAAGCGCAGATGTCTATGGAACCCGTTTGAACCACCTTGTTAGAAACGGTCTCTCAGCCCTGAAGATGTTGGGGAGTTTTCCCAACGAAAGCTTGGCAACCTTTTAATATAGTAAAATACTTTAATTGAAGTATTTTAACTTTAAACTCTCCTGGTGAACGCGCTTTATTCATTCCATATATATATATATATATACATTGCTTACTGGTGTACACCGTTTAGAGAGTGCTTGCACTTAATGCGGTATATAAGTCTCATAAATAAATAAATAAATAAATTCTTGATCACTTAGTAAAAGTGCTTTGAACAGGGCTCAGAAAAATAGCCAATGCAGTTCATGCAATACGAGGGTCATATGTTTTAATAATCTTGTTACCGCCATCACACAATTTCTGAGTCAGCTGTTTCTGTACCTAATTCAAGATCAGACCCCATAGATTTCATATATAAGTTCTTAATATTCAATATTCAATTAAAAACAGTAATTTCCATTATTTATATAATTTACAGTAATAAACCTAAAATATTATTCCTGTATTCTATTCAGGGAGTAGACTCTACACTGGAAGAGTGGCAACCCAAAATGATGTTCTTAGTTGATAATATACTTGAAAGAAAAATTGCAGTTTATAGATTTAATCATTATAACAATAGCTTTTGTGAAAGTGCAAAAAAACCCACCCTTACATTAAATGACAATGTTGAGGCTGAGTATATTATCTACATCCTTTATCAAATACACTAAAGTATTACAAATAATTAAGTTCGATAAGTAAATTTGATACATAATCTTGCATGATTTTAAGCACAGAAAGGCAAACTACACTATCTCTTTCAAAACTACTTGACAGATTTTTCTGCTAATTTTCAGTATCCTATTTAATTTCAGCATTCTTTTTTTCATTCTTTTGATATATGTCATGTCAAAAGGATGCAATGTTTGGATATGCTGAGTTATTTCATATTTTTCTTAAGTTGTGATTGTGTTCTTTTTTCTCCTTGAGCAGAGATGAAACTCAGTCAAGCCAAACAGTTTGGAGGTTGCAAGTGCAGTTATGGAAAAGGTATGTCATTGGAAGGCACGGGACTGAATTTCATTTTGATTTATTAAGGAAATCAAAAAGTGACATCCAAAATGCCATCCAAAATTGGCAGCACTACATGTTTGTTTCCTAGAGCCTGTGGCACCTCCATCCTTATTTCTGAATAGGAGAAAAATCTAGCCACCAAAACCTGGTTATTTTGCCACTGAAGTTTAGAGAGGAATGAAATTCATACTTTGCCTACTGCTGCATTTATTCCTATTTTCAGGACTCTTCTCAATATTTTTTTCCTACTGAGGAAAAAATATCATTCAATATGGACAGGGAGTCCCAAGGTCTGTAAAATCAGTTAAAATAACCTGAGTATCATTTGTTCACCAATGTGCTGTTAAGGAACAAATCATATAGAATCATAGAGCTGGAAGGGACCTCAAAGGTCTTCTAGTCCAACCCCCTGCTCAAGGAAGAAACCTTACACCATCCCAGTCAAATGGTTGTTCAGTCTATTCTTGAAAACCTCCAGTGATGGAGCACCCACAATCCCAGAAGGCAAGCTATTCCACTGATTAACATTTGACTGGTTTCACACAACATGTTAAATCTTAACTCACTGTTTACAATACATTAAGCCAAAATCAAACACTATTATATTTAGCACAGTATTATGAACTCTTATCTCTATTTTGAAACCAAATTGTTTAAGATTGTAATCATTTTTATTATATCTTGAATTAAAGCCAGATGTAAATTAAAACACAGAAATTTTAAAACTTGTATTATACATATTCTACAAGCCATTCCTTTCCGCAATCTAGTTGGTATATTCCATATTTACTGCAGCCATCATGTTTTCCTTAAAGAAAACCTGATAGATATCTTGCAATAAAAGAGTGATAAGTTATGAATGCTTAGTCCTCTTTGAACATTCAAAATCCAGAGTGCTTACTTTATAAACATACATGTCTCACATAAACATCAGTCAAATGGCATCAGTTCCTTTCAGAAACAAAACCTCACGTATGAACTTATATATGGATGTAAAGATTTTTTTATATGTAATATTCAATGATATGTACAGATAGTCCTCAACTTGCAACTGATTGCTTAGTTACCATTCAAAGTTACAATGGAGCTCCCTCAAAGCTACTTAAAATCTGGTTTCAAAGTTACAACGACCGTATACACCTTCGCAGTCGTGCGATTGCATTTTGGAAGCTGTTCACCTTTATAGCTATCCTGCAGTCATATGACCATAATTTGTGACATTTTTTGCCGGTTTCAGGCAAAAAAAGCCCATTGAGTGAAATGGATTTGCTTAGCACCTCCTGCATTTGCTTAATGACCAGTGCAAAAAATGCTGAAAAATTGGGCCTGGTCATGTGATGTCTCAATGTATGAGGGCAACAATTTACAACTATAATTCTGGGCTCAATTACTATTGTAACTTGAAAACTACCTGTAGACATTAATTTTTGCAACACACTATAGCTTTTTTTACTGTGATATTAGCATTTCATATTATATGTATTTTGTTAAAAATGTTTTTGCAACTGGATAACATAGTGAATGAAGAACCATAACATATGAGAAAATATACAATTATATTTTTACTGTGAAGGATAGAATAAAAAAACTATGCTTCCATTTAAAGCATTCCTCTGTATAAAAGTATAAAAAGTCCTATTAGTTTAGTGTCAACACTGCAAATATTGTATATTCTTGCTTTGACAATATGCAGAATTGTCTGGTATTTTTAGGATTAATGCAGAACAGAAGAGGGTGGGGGGAAAAGCCCGGGACAGAGAGAGGAAGGAAACCTTTGACCTTCACACTGATTGGATAACGTGATATATGACTGCTAATTTAGGGAGGGAACATGCTGATAATTTAATTGCTCGGAGGAGAATTTAGATCTTGGCATACCTCCATTATGCCTGTGCCGACATTTTGTAACAATAAATGACTTTTAGGAAAATCAATGCCTGGAAGTTCTTTGAA